CCTACCACTTACATACACTATGCACTCCAATCCTGTATTCTGTACTGTGTTGCCATAAACAGATTGTGGAAGCATGCAGCCTGTTAAAGATGCCCTGATGACTTTATCTACACCTACAGCTTCTTTGTTCGGGATCAATCCATTATGTAACAGAGTGTCCTTGTGAAACTTGACTTCTTGAGGAAATTGTAACTGAGTAGTGTGTAACAGCAGCGCACAGTGAGGTCTGACTGACTTCATCTGCTACCTGTAACATGATTGACTGGGACATTTGCAGGGTATTTGTTGTTTGTCATTGCTCTTGAACTGCTCTCCTGTGGTATTTTGTGCATTTATGTGCAATTACTATACTTGGATGTGGTGTCAGATCTTCAATTCTCAAAAACAACTGTAGCTTCAGCACCTTCTCCCCACTTGAATGTGCCATGATAGGTAGCAGGCACTCAATGCCCAAAGAATAACATAAATGACAGTAACTAATCAGCCTCCTCTTTGTATTTCCTTCATCAGGGCCCCAGTGGAGATATGGGCATCTCTGGGGAACAGGGCATTCCAGGGCCTCTGGTATGCCAAGAAATCATCTTTTTTGTCACCTGGCAAAGTTAGAAATATAAGCAAATACTTTGTTGTTTAGACATAGTATCGTTACTTTGACAGAAGTTAACATTCTAGCATTTGTGGTGCTCTTTGTCTAATCATGGTCAAGACAAAGAGACAGTCTCTTATCTTGTTCATTGCTTCTTTGTAAGGGTCCAGTGGGTCTGAGGGGTTATCCAGGAATGATGGGTCCCAAAGGAGAGGCAGTGAGTACCACATTTCCTTCTTCACTGTTACACAGAACTATTTTGTCCTCTTTCTCTTTTGCTGCAAGGCTATTCTCATTTTCAGATGAGCACCAAGGAGGCACAGCCAGACCCACCCCCCTATACAAACATCATTACCAACAATGGGGACATATGGAAATGATAACTTGAGGTTGTCTGGGTCCACAGTGCCTCCATCTGTAGTTAATGATCCGCTGTAGCCATCCGTCTTACTGTTAACATTAGCCGTGTTAGCCAAGTTAGCACCCCGGCTTAGTGCCAAAGCAAGAGTGGCTGACTCGGTGTGTCGCCCCTACTAGTGAAATACGTTAAGGACTAATTACCCTTTTATTACAGTGAATAGCGGGCTACAATGACTTAGCATCCTCCCTGATCTGAAGTGACTGATGGCAGTTTTTTTCCCCATAGGGACCTCGTGGTTACAAGGGCATCAATGGACTTATAGGAATTCCTGGGCCTCCGGTGAGAACATGCACAGAAATACAGACAAACACAGACACGAATACTCATAGAAAAATGGGTACACATGTGCACAAACTACTCTAAGTCTCTCTCTGTTGTTCACAGGGTGAGGAGGGACCTCAGGGACCACCCGGAGAGGCCAGTTCAAAACAATCAAGGCTAGAAGAGAAACAAAAGACAAACACAAGCACTCATATAGCATAATTTCTACCCGGCCTATTATCACAAAAAGGGACTCAAAGATAGTGGTCATACAAGACCAATAAACAAGCTGAACATTAAAAGCTTGTTTGAAAAGATACGTTTTTAGAGCTGACTTGAAGGTTACCAGCTCAGTTATAGAGCGTATATCTAAGGGTAAGGAGTTCCACAATCTAGGGCCATGCACGGCAAAAGCACGACCTCCCCATTTCTTATAGTGTGCAGGAGGAACAACGAGGGTGAGGTGACCTGACTTGTGTTTTTCCTTGAAGAATATTGTCAATGGTTTGGTGCAAGACATAAGACATGAACCACTTTTAGACAGTGAATCTGATGTTCACTGATTTGTTTATCTTCCACAGGGTAGCCGAGGTATCCAGGGCCCACAGGGTGCAGTTGGGATAAAGGGAGAGAATGTGAGTGAACGCACTTTTATTTGTGCACTTACACACAGTAGTTTTGTTCAGAGAGTGATTGCCCCTGCCTTCTTTTTCAGGGTCTGCCAGGTATTGATGGAAAAGATGGCACACTTGGTATTCCTGGAATCAAAGTAAGGGTTGCCAGCTGTGAGTATGATGAGTAACTTTAATTTCAGTAAAAAAATGACAATTTATTGTTTTTCTCCTTTCTTTTCTGTAGGGCAGCCCTGGCCAGGCTGGGATGCCTGGTCCTCCTGGTCCTCAGGGAGCAGCGGTGAGTGACTCTCCAGTTTGTGTGTCTGACGATTGTTCAGTAATGCGACTAAATGCACATGTAAATAGGACAGTCTGTAAATGCCTATTGTCTCTCACACCACGTAGGGGTGTTCAATCTGTTCTCCTCCTTGATTCAACAAAGCCTGAACCCAGTCAGAGGAAACCAGCATGAAGGAGCCTGTAAATGTTGTTATGTTTTGTTTTCTGGGCACGCATCCAGGTTAATGGTGACCCTGTAGCCCACAGTATTTCAGAATTTAAACCACCTTGAAATAGCATTCTCCCTCCCACCACATGTGATTTATCACAATCAGACCAGTGACTATCCTTGTGTGTTTGTGTGTGTCATTCGGACTGAGGGGTAATGGAGGATGTGATGCACAATTTGCTGTGTGGTCATTGCGGTGACTCTGACACTGCTGCAAACTCAAACACCATAACTTAGCCTGCTTTATGTCTTGCTGTATTATACCATCTCTCACGTGCACACACAAAATCACTGCAAGGAAAACTGCCACAGACTGGTGTATGGAAACAACTGATGCTACAGCTTGGCCTATTTTCAGTATTTCAGGCCTCAACTTTATTACTACTACCACCACCACCCACATACTAATATCCACATCCATTACACAACAGCATTTTCAGGTTGCCTCTCTGTATTTCAAATGTGAAATACACTGTACCCCTTACTGAATTCTTCCTGTGAAGCGTTTTCTTTGGCATTGAAAGTCTCCAGCTAGAATCAAAACAGGGATGTTGCAACTACTGTATATCATTTTCACTTATACTATTAGACAACCAGGATATCCAAAATACAGGGATGATTCTGATTTTCTCTGATTTTAGTCCTGTTATTTCTGTCTGTAGGGATTGCCTGGCAGTCCTGGAGCTAAAGGTGGACCTGGAGCCAAGGTAAGCCTTTTAAAAACTTGTATTATTGTGTGGATGCTGGAACAGCAACATACACACTATTGTTACCCTCATATCTATTGTGTGGATGCTGAAAAGCATCCACACTGATATCCAATTGTTTATTGTGTGGATGCTATGAAACACACACTATGCTATCCTGGTCTTTATTTTGTGGATGCTGTGAAACACACACTATGCTATCCTGTTCTTTATTTTGTGGATGCTGTAAAGCACCCACATATTGTTATCCTACTCTTTGTGTGGATGCTGTGAAACACACACTATGCTATCCTGTTCTTTATTTTGTGGATGCTGTAAAGCACCCACATATTGTTATCCTGTTCTTTATTGAGTGGATGCAGTAATGCCTCCACAGTATGTTATCCTAATCTTTATTGTGTAGATGCTGTGAAGCATACTTTCACCTAGAAAAACCATTCAGGTATCAAAATGTTCAGCTCTTTAAGGACATGTGTGCTTGTATTTTTCTTGTTTGTAACATTTATGCTTTTAAAACTATTTAGCTTTTTTCAGCAAAATTTTGCCCATTCAAATGAATGGGAAAGATATTTACATCTTAATATCTTCAGAATACCTTTAGCTAAAACCACCATTTCAACTAATAACTATTCAGTAATTCTTCAGCTATTCATACTGTAAAGAGATTTTTTTTACAGTTTTTGCATAATTACATTTACATTTTATGTCTCATTTCAATAACTCTAGTATTTCTGTGTGTAGGACTACTCTTTCTTTCTCATACACACAGATACACACAGACACACACACACACAACCCTACTTGTTTTACTACTTTGTGGGGACCAATAGAAAAATGTTCACATCTTAATAAGTTCAGGATACTTTCAGCTAGAAAAGCCATTCTGGTATCAAAATGTTCAACATTTTCAGGGCATTATGGTGTGTATTCAGCCTTTTTACAACTTTCATACTTTTTAAAATATTCAGCTTTATTTTGCTCTTCAGGGACATGCATGCTTCTATTCAGAATTTTTCTAAACTTCACACTTTTGAAATATTTAGCTTTATTTTGAAAATCTTGCCAATTCAAATGAATGGGGAAATTCTACTTCAGCATACTTTCAGCTGTTTCGGGTATCAAATTGTTCAGCTGTTCAAGGACATTCATGCTTTTATTCAGAAGTTTTCTAAACTTCATACATTTTAAATATTTAGCTTTATTTTGAAAATCTTGCTCCATTTAAATGAATGGGAAAATTCTACTTCAGCCTGCTTTCAGCTATCAAAATGTTCAGCTCTTCAAGGACATTCATGCTTCTTTTCAGAATTTCTCTAAACTTCATATTTTTAAAATATTTAGCTTTGTTCTGAAAATCTTGCCCCATTCAAATGAATGAGAACATTTAACGTTAGCATACTTTCAGCTATTTCAGGTATCAAGATTCAGATGAATGGGCAAACTTTTCAGCTCTTCAAGGACATTCATGCTTTTATTCAGAATTTTTCTAAACTTCATACTTTTAAAAAATTTAGCTTTATTCAGACAATGCTGCCCCATTCAACTGAATGGGAACATTCTACTTCTGCATAATTTCAGCTATCAAAATGTTGAACTCCTCAAGGACATCAGTGCTTCTATTCAGAATTTTTCTAAACACCATAATTTGAAATATTTAGCTTCATTATGAAAATCTTGCCACATTCAAATGAATGGGATAATTCTACTTCAGCATACTTTCAGCTATTTCGGGTATCAAAATGTTCATCTCCTCAAGGACATCCATGGTTCTATTCAGAATTTTTCTAAACTTCTTACTTTTGAAATATTTAGCATTATTTTGAAAATCTTGCTCCGTTCAAATGAATGAGGGAAATTCTACTTTAACATACATTCAGGTATCAAAATGTTCAGCTCTTTAACGACATTCATGCTTCTCTTCAGAATTTTTTTAAACTTCATATTCTTGAAATATTTAGCTTTATTTTGAAAATCTTGCCCCATTCAAATGAATGGGAAAATCCTACTTCAGCTTACTTTCAGCTAGCAAAACCATTCAGGTGTCAAAATGTTCAGCATTTTCAGGGCGATCTTTCAGCACTCAGCATCTATACGCATTTTCTTCAGAAAATGCAATTTTCTAGTTTGTATTGAATTTTTCTAACTTTTAAAATTTTTTTAAATGTTCAAAGATTTTTGCCCCATTCAAATGAATGGGAAAACTCTTCAAATCCTCCTCTTTTAGCCTTAACCAGTTCAGCATATTTTCAGCTAGACATACCATTCCAACTTTAAACAATTCAGCAACCCTTTAGTTATTAAAACATGTATTCAGCTCTTTGATATCTTTTACAGATTTTGAATTCTTGTAGTTTACTTTTCAAGGTTGATTTTGGACATTTCTCTGCTAGTGTGTCACATGACCTGTACTCTAGCTCTGTCCTTCAGCCTTTTCACATTTTTTCAGCTTGTTTTCTGCTCTTATTCTACCAACCTTAAGCTTTCACATACAAATAATACATGAAAACAGTAGAGAAAACTGTGAGGAATCAGAAAATGGCCTTGGTATTGCAATAGGATGAACAGTTTTTGAATGACATGGCACATTCCAGAGAGAGTGCCGCTTCACTCTCCCATAGACATTGTCAGTTGTTCGAAGCCCATGTTTGACTTAAATTGCTGTAGTGTCCTTAAACTGCTGAGTCACTTAATGATGCACCTGCCACTTTTACACACAAACAGCAACAGAATAACATGCACACACAAAATAAAACCCATATACAATCCAAGCAATACAATGATGCACAGTAACACACAGTGGCACAGTGACACATGGACACACACACACACAATGTAAACAGTTTAACAACTGAATGTCCAGTTCCTTTCAAAGCTCAGAGCTTTGCTCCTTGTTACTGTCAGCTAGTTTGTCCTTGTCTACTGTCAGTCAGACCAGCACAGGCTGGAATGTGCTTGTGGTGGGAAGTTGTTGTCAGGATATTCCAATGTCACTCTGAAGGATACTGCAGGGCCACAGATTATAAACTGGTGTGACATGAGTGCTCTTCAAGGACATTCATGCTTCTATTCAGAATTTTTCTAAACTTCATACCTTTTTAAAATATTTAGCTTTATTCTGAAAATTTTGCCTCATTCAAATGAATGGGAACATTCTAGTTCAGCATCCCATGTTTGACTGCTGTAGTGTCCTCAAACTGCTGAGTCACTTAATGACTCACCTGCTACTTTTACACACACAAACAGCAACAAAATAACATGCACACAAAATAAAACCCATATACAATCCAATCAATAGTGATGCACAGTAACGCACAGTGGCGCAGTGACACACACACACACACACACACACACACAGAGAGAGAGACAGATTGGTCTAACTTCAAAATATGAGTTAAAAATAAGACCCCAAAATACACCAAATTTTCAAAATAATGCCTTTGATTGCAAATTAAAATTTAAATGAAAGCCCCCAAACATGCCAGAATTTCCATATAAAAGCCCCTGAATGCAACTTAAGCTGACATAAAGGCCCCAGAAATGTGCCAGATTTTTACAATAAAAACCCATGTTTCCAAATTTGCCCACATGAGGGTCCAATACCATGTCAGATTTTTAAAATATAAGCTCCAGACTGTAAATTCAGCTCACCCAGAGGCTCAAAAATGTGATGGATTTTCAAAATAACAGCCCAGCTTGCACATTAAGATTACATTAAATCCCCAACATATGCCAGAATTTAAAAAAAAAAGCACAATTATAAATTAAGCTCACATAAGTGCCCCACAACATGCTTGATGTTTAAAATATTTTAAAATCAAAACATTTAGCTGTGGTGTGTCAGCATTTGCAGGGCGATCCTTCAGCGGTCAGCATCCACACACACATTTTTTTTTTCTTCAAAAAAATGCATTTCTCTATTTGTGTGGATGCTGTGAAGCATCCACACTATGTTATCCTGGCTTTTTTATTATTCTTGGTTCTTCCATCCATTTTTTGTCACCTAATTTCTTCAGCATATTTTCAGCTAGAATAACCATTCAGGTATCAAAATGTTCAGCTTTTTAAGCACATACTTTACTATTTTTCTTGTTTGTAACATTTATATTTTTTACAATATTACGCTTTTTTCAGCTAATTTTGCCCCATTCAAATGTATGGGCAACATTTTCACATCTTATAACTTCAGCATACTTTTAACTAGAAACATGATTTCAACTGTTTGCTATTCAGCAACTCCAAAGGTATTGGTAATGTACACAACTTTTTGATATCCTTTATGGTTAATTACCATTTACATTTTATGCTTCACTTCAATAGCCACACTCTAGTAGCCCTCAGGGTGTAGGACTACTCTCACTCACTCACACACACACTGCATGAAAAGAGGTGTATCTGTACTAGGAAACTCCCAAATAGACCACTGATTTTCGGAAATATCTACAAGTATCACTGACCGTATACATCAAATTCCAGCAAGCTAGAATTTTGATTTGATTTATTCTTTCAAGCATGTAAAGACAGTTGATATGTCAACACACATAATTTTACACATATCCAACAAATGCTAATCCAATATCAATTTGCTTATACCTAGTACATGCTTGAATGGAGTAGGAAGAAATCAGACTTATCCAGTCCTACCCCATGACATCATCTTACATCATTGGTTTGCAAGCAGTATCTCTACATAAATAATTCTCTTCTACACCACACAAGTAATATACTAAAAAAATACTCTCGTATACACCACTGATTTTTGGAAGTATCTACAAGTACCACTGAACGTATACATCAAATTCCACCAAGCTAGGATACTTCCAGAAAGATACCAATTCGGATGTATCTTGCTGAGGTATACTCCCATGGCACAGCCATTTGTTGCCATGGCTAGTAATCCCCTCAAAGAATTTGTCAGGAGACATTCACACCTCAAGGACCATTTGCATTTTACACCTTTGCACAACTCTGCTGTCCCCATTGGTCCTTTATCTCAACATTGATTGGTTGTTTTAAATAAAAAAAAAAAACACTTCCGAAACCCTGACATCTATTGGGACATTACCCAGTCACTTTCCTGTCGATATTATTTGATTGGTCACACTTTTTTATTTAGCCCAACCCAAGACCTCATTGCTTAGTGACTTGTGACTTGGTTATTGGGCAGGTATTTACACCCCCCACCCCTCCACTGTAACATACAACCCCCGCACCCTTTAAAACATCAGAATGGAATTGATTCAGAAATGTTTTTTTTTAATTAAACCAAAACTCTAATATACAAAGAATAAGGGAAAACAGAAAACATGGGGAAAAAAATGACGAATTATAATGGTGCAATTAAATTAAAAGCAATACTAAAACAAACACATGCACCAGTGCTTGTTAGAGGTCCAAAAATGAATGTCCTTCTGGCTCAGTTTCATCAACTCTTACACGCTGACGGTGTGTAAGAGCGTAGCCCATATCCGCCTCCAGTCTGCACTGCAGCCGCTGGCAAAGCTCTGACAATTGTGGGCTCCTGTGAGGTGGAGACCTTCCAACCCACACCGGTCTTTCACCAACAATGGTATCCTCCTCATTGGACATCAGTTCCAGCATTGCAGTTTGCCACAGTTCTCTCTCTGCATCTGTTTGGATGACCTTAGACCTGGACTCCAGCAACTGCAAAACACACCATACGTTAACCCCTAAGAACACCCAGAGATGTACCGAGCTTAAAACATAGATGAATTTCTACACTTACTCGTCTTTTCCTTTGTCGGTTTTTAGCCCCGACCTTAATGCAGTCTCTTAGCTGGGACTTTCATGGCTGAGACGAAGAGTATTTCCTCTGCAATGTCTCATAGTAAGTCCTGCAATAGGCTGAATAGAACAATAATTCAGATAAGTGACAAAAACAATTCAAATTATTAGAGGAATAACAATAAAGGGACATGAAAGTAATTTCAATAACAATTTCTGATTACCCTTTATACACTCAGGGTCTGCATCTGCAAAAGTTGTCTTCAATTCCTCCAGCAGATATGTAATCACTGCCTGATTATGAGGTGAACTTATTTTGTGTGGAAAGAGAGTAGTCATTAATTACATGTAAAATGATTACATAAAACCTCATACATAGCATATAAAAAAAAAACAGTATTCTTACCCAGTTTGTGGATCATATTTATGTGGGTTGTTATCCGAATTATGGAGGCGCCTTACAGCTTCCTGTAATGTTGAATTAAAAATGCTTTAATACATACACACATACATGCATACACAGTAAATTCTGCAGTGTTAAAGTAACACTGTAAGAGTTACATTTAACACTATTCCTCATGAGTTGACACCACTTCTCCTACACTGCTACTCGGTTTAGCTGCTATATTAGGCTGTAAATTAACATCAGTATCAACTTGCTGGTCAATACACTCAGTGTGTTTAGTGTTTAAATGTTTCCTAAAACCGGAAAAAGTACCAAATACATAACCACAACCACTACCTGCACATTTAAGGTGCAGATTTTTTCCAGGCAAGAAACCGTGAACTATTTTTAAATGCCTAACAAGCAAATTAGAACCAGTAAACTTGGCCTGACAAACATAACACATCATGGAGGAGGACAAGCGCCAATCACTGTCAACCACTAACAAAGCAACCTTGCCCTAACTTCAGCAACACAAGGACTCTCCTTGATTTTGCCAACATCTATGTTGTACACAGTGGTTTGGATGAAGGTGTACATGTTGTGGACCAAACACAAAATGTGCCTTAAATAGTTCGTCAAGTGCACCAAGAGATGAGGTTGACTTGCATGGAATGGCGTCCTTGTCAAGAATGATGAAGAACTGGTGGATCATTTTCTTATTCACTCCAACAGCAAGGAGATAGGCTTGAGTACTGGTAGTGATGGAGCGAAGATGCTCTTGGATATTTGTCCCAGTCTAAAATGACAGACAAATTATTAGAACCACATGGTTATAATACTGTAAGTCAACCATTCTTATCATACATAAAAAATACACACTTTCTGGAAGACCACAAGATGCTTTTCTGCTTGGTAAGCTGACACCTTTCCTGGTCTCTTCCATCCCCGAGCAGAAGGTGGAATCAGATGTAACAGCAGCAAAATCGTTGAGAGGTCACTGTCCCAACTTGAAACAAGTTTTATTTTTAATAAAACTACATTTTGTGGATCATCAACAAAATCCAGTGCCTCTAATGAGAGTTTATGCCCAAATTACTAGTTCAGTACTGCGATGGATTGGCGACCTGTCCAGGGTGTACCCCGCCTTCACCCGATTGCCGGCTGGGATTGGCTCCAGCACCCCCCGACCCCGTTCGGGGACAAGCGGTAGAAAATGAATGAAAAATACTAGTTCAGTAATATTACTGCTGAGCCAAATACTTCAGTGCCTTTGAAATTTCTTCAATGTTTTATACACAGTACAGATAGCTATCCTGTCAAACATTTTACAAATATTTAGTTATATAAATTGTCAGTCAAATTTTTAACATTGTGTTATGTAAATGTTGATACATGATGTTAACATTTTATGTCTGAACAAAGCTCACCAAAGTTCACATCTGAATCAGTTCCATCATCAGGAGGATCAGCTGCCAGTAGGAGTTCTTCCAGCACACTGACGGAAGGAAGTTTTCTGAATGGCTGGATGATCTTTTTCTTGAATGTTGCTGGCCATCTCTCCAGAAACTTGCTTGCTCTCCCCTAACATCATAACGAAATCCTGTTCGACCTGAAGCGGGGATTGGTCAGTGACTATTTGGTGATTATATACACAGTCTTTAAGTATGGTTTTTTTGAGACATTTGTCTAAAAAATATTAAATTGTCATTGCTCTGCCAAAGTAACAACATATTTACCAAGCCTTTGACATCTTTGAAATGTTGAAAAACAGTATGTTGGTTGACTCCTGGGGATCAAGGACCATATTGCGGCGGCAGACAAATGTCAGCTTCATCTTCATCTTGACAATGTCCTCATCAACAGAATGTTTCATGAGTGAGATCACTTCTGTGCATTCGGTTTCACTTAAGACCATCTGTGGAGCAAGCTGGAGCTCTCGTCTGGCAGTCGGTCCTCCAAACTTGTCTTCACAAGATGGTCCTTCTTCTCCTGACGTTAGACAATACGAGAAAAGACCTTATGAAGACCTCTGACAATCAAGAACATTTTGTTTAATTTTAAAGAAATGATTGCGTTGATTACTCCCGGTCCCAACACAGGCATTAACAATTTGGTTCCACACATCTTTACTATATCAGTGTTACCTCCACATGATGACTGCCTGTGTTTTGCAGCGCATCTCTGGATAGTTTTAATCCTCCAGGCCAAGTACCCAGTGCTGCTCTCACCGTCGTAGAAATGCTCCTTGGAGGGCAAAAGAAGAACAAAAACATGCTTTATGGCTTAGAAACAATATGCTCTGACATGGATTTGACTGGCAGAATTCAAAATGTTTCAATATGATTTTGGCTTGACCACCACTTTGTGCAACTCACATAGTTTTTAGAGTACGGGTCACTGAGATAGGGGAATAAGGTCACGATTCCTCTGGCATACATTTCTTTCACCTGTCGGGGTGGTGATGTACTGCAAGATTGAGAATAAAAATAACGTTAACTTCGATTTCAAATTAATCTGAAAACTACAGCAACTTCACAAGGGCTAAAAACAATTTAAAAATTACCCATTCTTCTCTGTCATGTCAGCTGCCAGTATGTTCACCATTTTTCTTCTGGTTTCATCCATCATGGACTTGGTTCGATTATATTCATTTATTATACATTTGCCACCAAGTTTACTGGTAAGAATGGATTCCACCAACTTTAAAACATAAAAACCATTCAGTAAGGATATTAGAAACATAATCATTGCAGTTCAATTAAACATTTTCCCAAATAATACTATGCCCACACAATATACAATTTCTATTTATGCAATTTCTGTAAAAGGAATTAGTGAAAGAAAAAAAAAAAGCACAACAAATTTAAGTGTCATGTTAATGTAAACATGGTTTGTTTTAACTGATACCTGCTTAGCGTCTGCATCCAGCCTCTGGCGTTTCCTGGAAGGGCTATTTGAAATGATGACTTTATCCTGAGAGTCATACGAATCAAGTGACGATGACAGCTGGGCCTGCTGAGGAGAGGCTTGTGTAGAGGCTGTTTCTAAGCATAAAAAAACAGGAAGAAGAAACATCATTGTACAGGGTCCTCTCAAAAACCCACTTCATAGACTATATTAAGCTTCAGTACAAACAACATATATTTCAAATTACAGATTAGAATTTTTTTTGTGTAACAAACCTGTTTCATATTTGATGGCTAGTACCCCAGTTGAGGGATCCTTTACTATTTCTTCAAAAATATCATTATCCAGTTCAGTCCCTGAACTGTCAAAGACTTTCACGACTTCTGTTACAGCTGGGACACCAAACTTTGTAAATGCTATGGGCACAAGGATCATGTCTTTCACATTATAATGAATATACATTCATCATTTTCATTGAATTTGATATACTAGCTTATCAAATGGTCTTAAACACTATCAAATTATATAAAATGAGGTTGTCAAGCAACCTACTAATTTATTTTAAGCAGTACACACATAAGAATTTAAAGCACCTTATAAAAATCTATCTCCCTACAGTGTCAGGGTATACCTGCTATCAGAAATTCACTCAGGCTTGGCTCTGTTATTCTGACATATATTTGTTCATCACCAAGTTTTACTTTAAGCAGTATGTTCCCTGTGGAGAGTATAAGCAGATGATTTCTCAATGCTAGCAGTGCACAAGCACTTAGAAACAGAAAAAGGAACATAATTGAATGAATTCCAACAACAGTCCCACTGTAACCCCTACCTATAAAGTGAATCCATAATGGGTTGTTTCTACGCTATAGCTGTAGTTTGTGGTGGTCCTGTATTTAACAGAATTACACAAAATGAAGTTTCATCTGCCTGAGATATGACACTTATTTATTTTAAAACAACTCCTGCAGGATAGAAGCCTCAGAGTGACACTGTCCTCTAACAAATACAGACAAACTGATTCCTGCTTTGCAGTCTGTTGTTAATTTGGCCTAAACTGGTGCATCAAGCCACTTTACATGTCACGTTTTCCTGCTTGCTTTAAGTAAACGATACACATTTCCCATAACAGTTTCCTCTTAATTCTCACTGTTGCTCGTGCTTTTCTCGTTATATTAATATAACGTTAACTGCGTAGCATGTCTCACTAAACACATTAGCCAGATTGCTAGCTAGCCTTCAGTTCAGAACTCGATATTTAAGAAACAAAGACAGCCAGAGTATATGGCGATATTACATTATTTTAAAATGCTGTGTCTGTTGAATTGCAACACTACTGGTTTGTAGGTGAGTAAATAAAAACTTACCGCTGTTGCTCCACGTGTGGAATATGGCGTCCTCACTCCAGAAGTGGAAAATGCAGTCTGGGATGTCTGCTGTCCTTTAGAAGGAACACCATGGCTAATCCCCCACCCCGCTATGATAACAAAGCACCTCTACCTACTAGTCATTAACATATGAAAGGTCTTTACACCTCACAGCCATTGCTCCTCACTGCTTGCTGTGAGGAAACTTTCACCAATTCCCGTATACATCCACATACATGAAGTATCTGGTTGTTTCACGAAAACCAAGCACTCTGCTTCATACATCTGGCAAACTTGAAGTTTAGCGGGGATTTCCCATACCCATGTTTGTCCGGATACAGCTCTTTTCATGCAGTGACAGACACAGACATACCGACACACACAATCACACACACACACAACCCTACGTGTTTTACCTACTTTGTGGGGACCAATGGGAAAATGTTCACATCTTAATAAATTCAGTATACCATTCAGGTATCAAAATGTTCAGCTCTTCAACAAAGTGCTTGTATTTATTGCATCTCGTCATTCAGCTTATTCAACAAAGAACTCAGCCATTTCTTCTCAACTGTTTCAACAAAGATCTTCAGCCATTTCTTGTCATCCTTCAGCTGTTTCAGCAATTGATTTCAGGCATTTTCAGGGTGATCCTTCAGCATATCAGCATCCACACGCATTTTTGACAGGAAATGCATTTCTCTAGTTTATTATTTAAAAACTTGTGTTATACTGTATTGACTGTGAGTAACTTTTTAAAAATGCTTTTATGATGTTCTTTTTCTTTAGAACATATCCTTGTTTTGTCATCTTTCCCCTTGTTAGGGTGAGCCTGGCCCTCGAGGTCATGTTGGCATGTCTGGCACCCCTGGACCTCTGGTAAACATACACATTATGTACATTCACTGGCCACTTTATTAGACACACCTATACACTTGTATGCAATTCAATGTAACACCTCTGCCTTAACATCTGTGTTTATGAAGCTTAAAATGTTTCTATTTTTGGTGAAGTTGTCATAAATATATAAATTCAATTATATGCTTATTATTGAGGTCATAGTTAAAGGTGGTGTTATATTGGACTACATTATATTTAGAGGTGTTTCTATATTTTTGTCCTCCCCAGCTACATATATGAGAGGGTCAGAATATTAGGAACACCTCTGAATAAACAATTGTATGCTTGTTGTGTATAATGCAGTGAATAACTATACTTTTGCATTCTCCTAGGGTGAGCCTGGTCTTCTTGGTGAGCCCGGTATGGAAGGCGTCCCTGGACCTAAGGTGCAAATCCAGAATATTACATTAAAACTAATATATCTATATAGATGAGCTAATCACATATATCTATCTATATATATATAGATAGATATAGATATATAATCTGCTTATAAACCATACTTGCACACCTGATCTGAATTCGACAGGGTGACAGAGGCCAGCAAGGACCAGTTGGGCCACAGGGGATATTAGGCAAGCCTGTAAGTAGCATTGTGTCTTTTCATACAAGTTTTAGCAGATTTTAGGTTGTACTAACAATACTATTTCTGTTACTGTATCTCCTAACAGGGAAACAAAGGAGAAAGAGGGCCCATTGGTATTCCAGGTGCCCAAGGTCTCAGTGGAACCAAGGGAGACCAGGTCAGTGTGTGCAAGAATCCTTGTGCATACTTTATAATAATTAAGTTAAATAGGCTTGTCCATTGGGGGCAGTATTTACCCATCAATAAATGTGAACTCAGCAAATTGAATGAGGCACCCAATGTAATTAAGCAATATGAATGATAATCTAAACATCCTCATCTGCCATGTTTGAGATGAGATGAGACAGCATCTTTCTTACTTAGTGGTCAGCAGTGTCACAAGCTTGAATCAACATTTAGAATTATATAAACTTCATTTAACTCTTTACATGTTCTGAACCGTATGTCTTTCCAGGGCTTTCAAGGAAAAGTTGGATCAAAGGGAGACATTGTGAGTGGCAATTTTGCTCTTTTAAACCACATCATTAGAAACATATCTCCTAGACTAGCTACATGCTGATGAGTACACTTCTACAGCCATCTCTCTCTCTCCTCCTCTTTTAGGGTGACCCTGGTGTCGAGGGACTGGCTGGCGAGAAGGGTGAAAAGGTAAAACTCATTAGTATAATTTGAACATTCTTTATAACTTCCTGTTTTAAAGATCCACAACAGCCTCTGAATCAACAAAACACTAAAACCTCATGGCTTTAGACAAGGAGGTTTAAGCTGTTGGTTCTGAAGGCCGCAGAGTAGAATGATATATGAAATATGAAGTTAAAAGAGGAGGAAGCCTGTTTTTGAATTCGCATACAAATCCCCATAATAATCCAGATAGCAAATGAGCTATTTATATGACAACAAAGCAACAGAGCCACAAGTATAGATCTTCATACAGATTAGTCATTCTTGAATTATTGCTCAATGAGTGGTTTTTGAGGCAGAAATGATAGAAGTGATGAATGTGAAAATGACAGTCTCTCTTTGCTGTCCCAGGGCTTGTCTGGCGAACCTGGGCCAAAAGGACAGGTGAGCTTGTACTGTGTAAATTTGATAACTGTTTCATAAAAATGCCAGTTTTTTTTTTTTTTGGTCTTTCATTTGTTCCTTTCTGCATATTTAACAATTTAATAATTTTGATTTCTTTCTCACTTTTTTATTGGCCTCTGCTTTTACTCTCACTCTCACCTAACACTCTTCCTAGCAAGGAATTAGGGGTGACCCTGGTCACAACGGACCTACTGGAGACCCTGGGAAACTAGGAGACCAGGGACCACCAGGACTATCTGGTCCTAGGGGACTGAATGGAGAGCGAGGTGTACCTGGCATGCCAGGCATTCAGGGACAACCGGTGAGTCCAGTTCACTCTTGATCAAAGCATTGGTGATGTATGGAATGTAGTGTATATGGACATATACTGGCTGATACATTTGGTCGGTTGCTTTCTCCCTGCAATGCTCAGTCTCCTTTTCCTTTCTCCAGGGCCGTGATGCATCAGACCAGCATATTATTGAAGTGGTGCTAAAGATGTTGCAGGGTGAGAGTCTAGATCTGAATATTCACCTTTGATGTTCATGGGGGAGATTAGATTAGCTCATTTCCCAAAACTACTTTCATCTCCTGAGCTATCAGTTGCCCATCATAAAAGGTAATTTAATCAAAATGATGATGCTGTCTGCTCTGTTACAGAGAGACTAGCAGCAGTGGCAATGAGTGCCAAGAGGGCTGTGCTTGGTCGTGCAGGTGTAATGGGGCCTCCTGGGCCTCCTGGACCTCCAGGGGCACCCGGCCCTCAAGGGCCACATGGCCTGCCTGGTGCCCGTGGAATTCCTGGCATTATTGGAGCACCTGGACAGATTGGGAACATAGGACCTAAAGGTAAAAAAAAATATTATGCAAGACACCTTCATGCATTGATAAAGGTAAGTAAGATAAGGTAAATCTGATGCCACTACATTTTTTGTCTTTCCCAGGAAAGAGAGGGGTGACGGGCAAAAGAGGAGATGCTGGTAAACCTCACCCAGGACCCCCAGGACCCCCAGGAATACAAGGTAAGATAATGGAATTTTGCAAGATATATGCCTATACTTTGAATGGAAAACACATTTACTAATTAAAGATGAAAAGGAAAGGGACATTAAGAAACTGAAGGACTTGGCATTACAGGACTCACCACAGGAGAGCCTGTTCAAAGGCATTTAAAAGGGTCATTAACTCCACTCACAGATGCTTTTGAATGGGAATGTAATAGGATTGCAACAGTACACACTAATTCAAACACTCACACTCCCCTGTGCACACCTACACACAACATAGATGTATGGATATATACAGCATAATCAAAGTTCTGCATCAGGTTTCAAGAGATTCAAATGTACTCAGTGCATTTCCTCATCTTGACCACTGGAAATCTGTTAAATTCCATACTTGATGTGGAACCATCTTTGTCCACAGGTCCTCCAGGTGTTGATGGTGTGGCTCGGGATGGTAGGCCTGGTGAGAGAGGACCTCAGGGATCAGCTGGAGAGCCCGGTCTCCCGGGTAAGGCAGGTCCATCAGGTTTGCCAGGCTTCTGCGAGGTGGCAATGTGCCTAGCTGCATCAGCATACACCTCCCCGAGACTACAGGAGGCAGGAACGATCAAAGGACCTAATGTGTAAAGACCTGCCTCTTTGTCACAGCACCAGGAAGAGAAGGAATATAAGAAGGTGAGAGACCACTCGTCTCAGTACATCATTGTGAACATGCGGTGGAGGGCAGTAATAATGACTGGATGTATGGAACCCCTTCTTGAAACTGACAACCTAAGGTTTTCACCAGTGGTACATACTCTCATCTTAATCCTGCACATCACCATGACAACAGCAGTTTACAGCCACCCACATCCCTTCTGAATTCGCTAGTGTTTTTGGGTGATGTCAACGGCCATCCCATCCAAACCTCCTCTCCCTGATCCAGTAAGAGGAACAGCTTTATCTCCCTGTCTTCCAGCACAGTATCTCTGTGCTGAGAAGAGCTGGAAAAGCATGGAGAAAGGTGCTTTTCTTTTACAATGTGGTCACGTTGAATGGTTTTATATAAATATTTAGTTTGAGATGCTTTGAAGTTTAAATGTCCTGAATCTCTTGCACCACTGCAAATGCTTAGGTGCTCAAAAAGGACCAATAAGTTGATAGTAGCCAAATTTTACACTCAGTACTGTATTGTAAAATATAGTTTCATCACTAAGTTTGAAATCCCTGACATACCTCGTGTACATTGCCAAGCCCCCTCCCCATATCCAATTTCTATCCAGGTCTCACTTTAGAAATGAACAACTAGCTTTCTCTCTTTCTCTGGTTGCCTGGCAACAGCATATCCCGATGGGCACTCCCATCTCCCACATTGAAGTGCTGTAAATCTTTGTAAATATGTGTTGATTATTATGTAGAGAAAAAAGTAATGGGTTACAACATGCACCAAAAAAAATCTTGTGTTAATGAATTCAGTTAGTAATAAAAAGTCCTTACAGAAGTAATGTCTTCTCCTCAAAATGAACTGGCTCACAGACTAAATGTGCTTTCAATGCCACTGTCAGCATTCCACAGGGTGATATCAAACCGATTTATTTTTTCATCGATAAAAGCTATTTATTGTTCTTTAAGTAATCATCTGTAAAAAGGATTTTTTTCTGGCTGTTCAAGTAAAACCAAACCAATAAAGAGGAATCTTTTGTAAAATCTAATGTTGTTTTCTATCTTTTAGCCCCCTTCCTATTCATTTCTCCCATTTGAAATTGCCAATAGCATCAATTATTGCCTGTAAACAAAACTCCAGATGTTCAGCTTTTTATGTTCTAGCATCACCAAGACAAAGTTCCTACCATAATGTACTAGACAATACAGTATAATTGGTCAAATGCACATAATGCCTATTCTTTGGAGTTTTTATAGTGCCTTTTAGAAAATGAATGAATGAATGAATGAATAGTTCTTTTACATCATATCATTTTGTATTTTATAATTCTGCTCTTTCAAAGGTAAACATTAGTAAGGGACATGATGAGTTGTGCCACAATGATAGTAATACATCAGCATACATTTTTTACATGTCTGTTCAACACTATTTCAGACAACAAATAGGTTGATAATGATAACATGATAGGCTACAGCCTCTTTAAAAAGCATTTTAATTCAGTTTTAACATTTCCCATTGGTTAGAAAAACAAAAGCCTGACCCCAGCACATAACTTACACTGCTGAATAAACTATGGGGATGATAAGAGATGACGATTAATAAAGGACAAAAATAGTAAAAATAACAGATAGCAACCCCAAATTACAGCACTTCTCCAAATATGTTCTTTACCCTTACATATGGCTGTGAAGGCTTGGTGGCTGTAATCAGTGTGTTGCATTACAGTACCTGTGGTGAACGGGCTCAATTACTGCTCGTATCTTATAAAACAACAAATGAAGCAGACAGATGGTCATTAGAGCTACATTAGAATAAAAAATAAAAATGTGATGCTTTAAAATGGCTGTATTTCCAAAAAGACAAAATGAACTTTAGCTACATAATTACAAAAGCCAATACACTTTCTTGTGTAGCAGTTTTCATCTATAAATAATTTCTTTCACTGAACATATTATTCCATTTTGAAAGCTTATAGACCTTAATAAAAATACTCCTTTGGTATTTTTACTGCTGTATAACCATGAAAAGTAAGTGGATAGCCATGCTAATTCCTTTAACCAGTATAAAAATCCATTATATATAAATATGTGTGTATATATATATATGTATACAGATCAGTAATCCATCAAAGAGGATATGAATGCAGAACTGAAATACATTCCTGGGGATATTCTCTTGCAAGTCAAATTTAGGTATGGATCACACCTCAAAAACACAGACAGAATATTAGAAATGCATGGGATTCACTTGAAATGAGATTTTGTGAAAAAGTAACAAAGACATGAGAGGGAGAAGCAAAGTATGCCAATACATGTTAACATGGTTTTAGGCAAAGAAAATTGAAAAAACAAACAAAACAAAAAAAACAAAAAACAAAAACAAAACAACGGCAACAAAGAGGTCAGAATAAAAAAAAAATACAGATTGTGATTCTTGCCACATCCCATGGGAAACAGTGACAAAAAAATATGTAAAAACAATATGCGGCAATAATATAGCAGTAAATTGACATTCATATGGGAAAGGACTGATGCAATAAAACTGTGCTCATGGTGTGTCTTTGCATACCTCAGTTCCAGTGGGGCCCTCAGAAACCGTGGACATTTGCTCAGAAATCTTTGGGTCATAGTGTCTTCTCTGTAGTCTGTTTTAGTTCCCTCTGCCGATCTCATTCATCACCTTTACCCCTCTACCAGGGGCCCTTGACAGGTGGGCCCTTGGGGCTGTAGTCTACTTGATGGCTCATACAGTCTGCAGGATTACACCGGCCATCGTTTCCTTTTGCACCAGGCTGTCCAGAAGGTCCTGGGATCCCAGGAACACCCTGCTGGCCAACTGGACCTGGGGGTCCCATCTTGCCATAGCCTGGCGGGCCTGGGACACCTGGAAGAAGAAAAAAAAAAGTCATATGGAATGTCATAATCATGCCACTAACCCTTATTCAAAAAGAAACCAAAAAACTGAAAGGGAAAAGTTGAAGAAATAGTCATACATTTTGAGAAATGACAGCCAGCGGTTATAATTTTTTAGAGGTAGGTGGGGAGACCAAGTGTTTGAATACCTAAACTTTTGAACCCATTTTGCTCATTTTATATATACACATGGCTTCTTTTCAACTGAACTTTTCAAATAAAATAAACCTTTCCATATAAAGTGGATGCAGGTGCTAATTTGCTTATTTAGCAAATGCTATCTGAGCTTTGTGATGATTAAAGGATCTTAAAAAAATGTTGATTTGGGTTGTTACACAGTAATTTCATTTAAGAATGTAGAAAAATTGCATTCATTATACTGGCAATTTCCTGATCAACATGCTTTTTAAATAATTAGTAGGTATGTAACAGTACCAGAAACTCATGGTATTATACTGCCATGATAAAAAGTCCACGATATGATATTTATCATGCTGCCATACAACAGCTCTAAAGGTTGATGATGAAATATCCGGTTTGCCCTCCCCCCCCCCCCCCCAAAAAAAAAAGTAGACACCACCATAGTCCCATGACATTATTGAGAGATTTGTCTATTGTGGTATCATGAAATTACAAATATCATTACAGTAAATAGAATCATTTATGTGATGTTAGCTGAATCTGCTAGCTAAGGGTTTAACAAAGGTTGCAACTTGTATGTGTTGCATATGCAAGTTCCTCAACAAAATGAGAGTGAAGAGAGGGTTTACTGGAACTCAAATTACAATTCAAATGTTGGCACGCCGACACTTAAAGGAAAAAAGGGCTAACACTATGTCGCAAGCAATTTTTACTGATCCTTGGACCACATTACCTGGTGCTCCTGGAGGTCCAACATCTCCCATCTCTCCAACACCCTTATCTCCTTTATCACCCTGAGGTCCTCGTGGCCCTATAGATAATTGCAAATATTGAATTCATGAAATTTTAAACATTGGTGCACATTAGTTTAACTAAGATTGAAACACTCACCTGGGAGACCTTGGGGTCCTGGCCGGCCTTGTCTGCCGATCTGTCCCGGGAGGCCAGGTGCACCTGGGGTCCCGGGATTACCTGGAGTTCCATCTTTCCCTGGGGGCCCTGGCCGACCAGGTGATGCTACCATCTCTACTGGCATTTGTACACGAGACATGTAGTATGCCATTCTCTCTGGGGAGGGTAAACATGCATTAAACAGTGATTCCAGAGTGACAAGAGCTGTGGTGTCCCACAGGAAAAATGCAATAGTTTTATGAAACAAAGATAAGCATCTACAAAGTAAATGTTGTCCTATTGTAGTAATTATGACATTATGCAGAGTAAACATCCACATTATTCCCAAGATTATACATGCCCTCACCATCAAAGATCTTGATGACCTGCTGGCGGATGAAGTTTTTGATTTCATCATAATTGACTACAGCCTGTGAAAAGTTAGAGAAAAAAAAAGAGACAAAACAACATATATTTATCAAAGTTAGGATATTTATTATTTACCAGAGCAGATGGAGCCAGTGGATGCCTCTGGCCACTGTTCTATGTCATCATAGTCCAGCTAGGTTTTGCACAATAAAAAACTAAGTAAAAGTTAAAACTAAAATCAAGCTACTGTGGTTTGACGAAACCGTTTCTCACATCATTTCCTGGGGACCCTGGAGGTCCAGGGAGCCCAGGGGCACCATCTGAGCCTGGACTTCCCCTTTCCCCTCTGGGTCCAACTGGACCAATCATTGGCTGTGCATCCTTAGACTGGTATCCACCACCACCGGGAAGCCCCGGTCTACCTCTCTCGCCTGCAGGACCCCTTTGGCCTTGGGCCCCTGGTTCACCCTGGGAGACAGATGCATAAAACAGTCACGTAGCTTGTAGCTAAGAAAGTATTTTAAAAATGGTATTCATTCATGACATAATCTCATTTTTAAAAATCTTTACACGAGTTTCTGGTGTCTGTTATTATTGCTGATTCTGAGCTTTATTCTTATATCAAGTAAACAATTTTGTCATTAACATGGCTTACACTGATCAATGTGTGTTTTACATGCATGTGGTTTTGTTCCAAGAGTTGAGACAGATATATACCAGATATAGCCAGGTGATGTTAAGCATAGCAACAAAAAAAAAGGTAATTGGGAAAGCATTAGCCTACTTACATCTCTAAAGACCAACACATTATCTTGTTTGATTTGTACAAAATTCTTAGTATAAGAACCTTAGTAGAGAACCTTAGTAAGTAGAAGAACCTTAGTAGAGATGCACCAATTGCAATTTTCTTGGTTGATTCCAATTTCTTTAAGCCTGACATGCCAATTCTGATTTTTTTTGACAGCATACATGGCCATTTTTGTAACTCTTCTTTAATGAAAAATTAAAGAATTGTTCAACAGTTTTACATTTTCATTCTTTCACCCTTTTTTTTAAACAAACCAACTAAAAATGAAGTGCAATATTTGTACTTCTCCAAATGTAAACAGGTGCAACAAGTAATAGAAACAGAAGAATGTCTCTTACATCAGTCTTACTGAGGACACAGTTCTTTTTAAAGTGTGTGTGGTTTGTATTTGCTGTGTTTTACCATAGGCTGTATACACTGTACATATGCATGCATTTCATGTGTAGCCAGTAATTCCCTCACTCTGTACTGTTTTGTCGGAGATTTGGACATAGTTTCCCTTCCCTAAGGTGTTTCTGTAGTTCCTCTGTGCTCTGCGTGTATGCCAAATGCTTCCAATGCATAAGTGAACATGCGCCCGGTATAGACAGAAGCACAGCTCTTGCTTGAGGTGTAGGTGAGATGCAATGCACTGCACATGCTATGCTTTTGCTCTGCATCACAGTGTGCATGTTGTGAACTGTCATGCCTCTAAATCTGATCGGCACAGAATCTGATTTCTCAGACTGATGGGCCAGTCATGCAGAAAACCACCCATTTCTGATATCCTCTGATTGATCGGAGCATTTCTAAACCTTAGTATAAGAAGCTGGTTGTGTGCTATGCTAATGTAACCATCTTATAGCTTCATATTTAGTAAATTGTTAACCATTATATCAGTTTTTCTGCTTTTGCTTATTTTAACATACACAAGAATAGTATTGCCTCTGTTTCAGAGAAGAAGCAAGCCTTTTAAGATGGTTACACAGACCCCACCATTCAGGTTGTGGAGATAAACCTAAAAACAGCTCTGCTATATTGGGAACAGTGATTTATTGAGGACGAAGCAGCCCATAACAGACAAGTCGCTGACAGACAAGTAGCTGTTGAAATAGAGATGAAGGAAAAGAATAGAGAAGTCCATCTTTGACTTTCTTCTGTTCTCCTATTCTGCACAGCTAAAACCCTGACAATGCTGTCCTGTCAACGTGACAAATGGCCTCATCTAGCATGGCCCCTCATGCTTAATAGCATTATCCCAGAGGCAGAGAAATAACTTTATCACTGTATCCACTTACAGTACTGTAAGCCTGTATCTAAGGGGAGATGCAAAAGGCTACAGAGGACTAGCAGGCAGCTCTGTGGAGGAGAGGAGTAAGGAGAGTGTTGCTGGGAGGGTCGAAGGGTTAGTGAACTGATGAGTGTGTAAAAATGGATGGAGCAAGCACCACACTGGGTGAGCCTGAGTCTCCCTGAGCTACACAAAACAGAAAAAGGGGCATCTAGATGTTCTGTGGAGGTAAGGGGTGGTTGAGGCTCAGCTGTCAATTCACAGATTATACACTCTGCCAGTAAGAGTCACCTCTTACCTTTTGACCTGGCTGTCCAGTGCCCCCTGGTACACCTGCTGCTCCCTAACAAAGACATAAAAATTAATCAAATAATGAAATATACACATCACTACATCTATCTCTCCCCATTACACTGTAATGAGGACAAATACCACTCCCAGAAATTACTCACATCTTTACCAGCAGCACCATCATTGCCTGGCTCTCCCTAAAAGACAAAGCAGGAGGAAAAAAGTCTAAGTGTGATATATTAGCATGCCAGCAGCTTGAATGATGTTTAAATGAATTAAGAATTTACTTCATTTGGGGAGGACAAAATCTGGAAGGTGTCACAGGTTGAAACATACTAACCACAGGCCCTGGGTGACCAGGTTGTCCTGGGGGTCCTACCATTCCTGGGAGACCCCTCTCACCAGCCTGGCCCTTATCTCCCTTTATACCCTGGAAAGCAAGGGAGAAAAGATGCAGAATTTAGAATTTCAATAGTGTTGTCTTTGACCCGCTCACACACATACACACACACACACACACACACACACACACACAAAGAACATACAGCACATAATGTACAATTTTAACACTGTCCTTAGCCCGCATTAATTTTAACTTGTAAATCTTTCATTCAGAATACCATATCCTTAAGTCTGGTCATCTGTTTTCTTTATTGTTCAGTATGTGTAACTTCTGTAATTATGTACTGTAATCATAGTGACCACGTTTGTAGTATTTGTTGTCTTAATTTTTGTCTGCAAAATGACCCATTTCCGCTCTTACCACTCCTGATGAACCAGGAGGTCCTGGTGGTCCAGCTGGACCTGTAGAACCCTGATGGGAAAAGTAAATAGACACCTTATTTAAGTTTAACACGCTAACATACTTACAATCATACATACAAAATTTTAAATAGGAAATGAACTCACAACGTGGCCGGGGGGTCCAGGTCGCCCCTGAGCACCTGGGGTACCAGGATCACCCTAGAAAGGTCATAAATTGGCTGGATTACCAATGTGCTCTCTATTCAGTCTACACTGCCTTGTGGTAAGAAAAAAAAGCCAAACTACTGACCTCATGTCCTGGTCTGCCTGGTGGTCCAGGTGGACCTGCAGGTCCAACATCACCCTGGCGGGATGAGTAATGAATTACAATGAATGGAATACAAAACAACAAAGTAATAAAACCCATACTTGTGTTATGATACATTTCATAATTATGATAACAACATGAAAACAACTTGGCATAATACACAAGCAACAGAGAGCAAATGGAAGCAGAGAACCAGATAGCGTGTGATGGGAAAGCAGTGAGTGGTTGACTAACCTTCTGTCCAGGGAAGCCAGGATGGCCAGTTTTCCCTTTGAATCCCTGAGGAGTGATATCAAAGAGAATGAAATTAGTACAGTATCAAAATTCACAAAGTCGAGGCTACAAAACAAACAACCAAAAAAAAAAAAACAACCACAAACTAGAAGACATGTCTTTGAAATCCTGAGCCCCTTCTGTTGGGCTGCTGGGATACAGAGAGCAAGAAGGAGAAATAAAAAAAAGTAAGGGAGGAATTGATGGAGTGATGTAGCTACTTGTGTCTTCATTGTGTGTGTGTGTGTGTGTGTGAATATCACCATCTCTGCCATATCAATATACAAGACAGAAAAGAAAGATTTTTAAAGAAGACAAGAAGCTTAGAAGTTTCAGATAGGGTCACATCACTCGTGACATCTACAGCATTAATGAGACTCAGTAATGACTGCACATAGAAATGCAGTATGTCAGCATGGGTGAGGTGAATGAAATACCATGAGTCTTTGTTAATTTGCACAGGATGTTTTTTTTTTTAAAGCTAAACCAAAGTCAACAATTGAGATGATCACACCTGTCTTGAAATGTTAATTTAACTCCAAATCTGGAATTCACAGTATCAAGAGCACAAAATATGGACCCATCTCTCCAGTGACAAAGGTTTAGTCATGCATGCTGACTTGCATACTAGTTTGCTGTTTGTAAAGGTGAGCCATGGCAATATACTGTAATTCTAATGCACTGTTTAAAATGTATGCTTACCAGATTGTATCTATCAAAATAACTACTGTATGTCAAAAATAATAGAGACATTCCTGATGTGAATGCTTGAATCACCACAATATTTAAATTTACCTCTAAAGCATTAGATGTTTTAACAAGTCTAGAAATCTACTGCCATGCTGGCAGCTCTCTGGGGCTGTACTTAGTATTTGAGCTAAATGCTAATGCTCCTTAGCTTTAAATTAGCACTGAAAATAAACACAATCTGAAATGCTATTAGTTTTGCAGGTATTTAAAAATTTGACCCGGTGATGATGCTAATTGAATAGTTAAAGGAGCAGCACATTATAATTTATGTTGAAGAGAACAAATTTCATGGGGATCCATCCGATAGTTGGTGAGAAAATTACTCAAAACCACAAATGGAGGAGAAGTCGGGGGGAAAGTCCTTATGGTTCATCACCTGCGGGCCATGGGTGTCTGTGTAAATTTTGTGACAATCCATCAAGTAGCTTAAGCTATAATTGATCATTTTGACCTGCTGGAGATACTAGAGCGAAAGTTAGGGTGTCACCAAAGGGATTACGGTTCATCCTCTGAGGACCATGAATACCTCTACAAAAGTTTGTGCCAATCCATCAAGATAATGTCGAGATATTTCACTTCATAATTAAAAGTCCGCTGGTGACACTAGAAGAAGTAAGGGAATCACCATAGTTAGGAGGATTCATTCTCTGAAGGACATGAATATGTGCATAAAATTCCATGGCAATCCAGTTAGTTTAAGGTTAGTTAGACAGACACATAATCAAATCAGCCAAGGTGATGCTCACTGGAATTCCTCTTGGTCCTGCTGGGCCAGGAGGGCCTGTCTCTCCCTGACAATGAAAAAACAGTCACAATGAGATATTAACTATGAGACATTCTGCATGGGTACTGGGCAATGCCTTCCATGTGATACTTGGTGTGTGATTTACCCGTAGCCCTGGTTTACCATCTTTCCCATCCATTCCTTCAATACCAGGTGGGCCCTTTCAAAGCAAAAGCAGGCAGACAGTGCAGATGAGAACTATTATACAACAGTACACAGCTATGTTGAAAAGGGTCCATTTGGATAATATACTGTACAGTGCTATAAAATATAAGTACCATCAGTCCTGGGGAGCCTGGTGGACCTGAGGGCCCAGTTGGTCCCTGAGAGCCTGGACCACCATCATTGCCCTGTGAAAGTAGGGATTTTCAGCAACTTTTTATATAAGTGATCATTTTGGATGCAGGGGGGAAAAAAAAATCACAAATGGATCAATGTGTGATATGTACTCACTTTTTCACCTTTGAGCCCAGGCAGCCCGTCCCTTCCACTTTTGCCAGTAGGACCTGGTGGACCCTAAAAATACACACAGTAATATAAAAAGTTGCTGTACACATTTCAGTAGTGAATTTGGAAGAGCAGGAAAGCATTTACTTACCGGTGGTCCTGGGAAACCTGGTTGTCCTTGGAAACCCTTGACATAAAAGTAGAAACATGTATAATTAGAAGCTTTATTCAAGGAGAAGCTTTATTTTATTATCATTGTAACATTGTGACACGTACAATGAAATTTTGTTTGGAGCCGAGGGGCCCCAGGCCACTGCGTGCATACGCGCCGCCATCACGGGCAACTTAGGGGGTTCTGTGTCTTGCCCAAGGACACTTCGACATGTGGACTGCAGTCTCCGAGAGTCGAACCTTCAACCTTCCGGTTGGGAAGCAACTGCTCCAAGTTTACATTCTGTCACATTTTGTTGTATTTTTGTTACACATACCTGATCCCCTTTTTCACCAGCAGGTCCTGCTGGTCCTGTGTCTCCTTTAGTGCCCTGCAGACAAAGAGTGGCTCAAACTATGAAGCAGATGTTCAACTTTGCAATGATAAATGAAGAAGCCAGACACTAAAGACTGCTGAGTAGAATTTATGACAACACTGACCGGTGCCCCAGCCTGTCCTTGATACCCAGGAATACCTGGAGGACCCTAGAGCAGGAAAGGAAATGTTAACAAGTATTATACAAGACAAGGTGCAAATTCAGAGCGTATTACTCAGTGGCTTACTGATTCTCCTTTTTGACCACTGCTTCCTGGGCTCCCACGTTCACCCTTCAGCCCCTGCCAAATACAGGGACTATGAATCAATGCCAGCTCACAAATCAATAAAAGTATCTATCCTATCCATCAATTAAAGGTGCCAGATTGGTTCCTTTAGTGTCAAGCTAGCTTACATGCAGTCCAGGTGGTCCCATGGTTCCTGGATAGCCTGGTGTCCCTGGGGGCCCCTGAGGTGAAGATCATACAAATCAGTCAAACTAGGAAATGAGTTATTTTTCTAAATTGTATAATTTTCAAGGACATTTAATGCCAGATACTTACCTGCTCACCTTTCATCCCTGGGAGGCCAGGGGACCCTCGCTCACCCTGCTGACCCTGAAGATGACAGAAATGATTTGAGGATGTGATATACACATGGCAGGAAAAGAGGCTACCTTGGTAGCCATGAACCAAGGAAAAGGCAAGTCAATATCAAATACAGGTAACTGCTAACATTTCCCAGTGGAACTGCCTATAATTGATTTTGTCCTCTAGTCTACCCCTGCATGAGGTTTCAGGATGCTGGTTTAGCTCTAAGATAGTGACACCCAAAGGCTTGTCAGTCCAACTAGTTCAACAATTTTGTTAGTTTTTTCCTCCACACAAATGATACTGATTCTCAAATGGTGCTCCATATTTATCCCTTCCTCTCTTATTCTGCTCCAGATTGAGGGACAGGTCTGAAAAAAAGCTACAGCTTCATTTATCTATTTAAGACCCTGATAGTTCATCAAACAAACAAAAAAGACAAACAACAATAATGACCACTGTATTGGGGTAAGAGGTTACCAAGCAACAAAATTTGTAGTTATGAAGTCCTTTGAAAGACTGGTGTTGGCCCACCTGAAGGACATCGTAGACCCCCTGCAGTTCACCTACCGGGCAAACAGGTCAGTGGACGATGCAGTGAACATGACACTGCATTACATCCTGCAACCTTCCCATGGACCTATGCAGGGGCCCTCTTTGTGGACTTCAGCGCGGCATTCAGCACCATCATCCCAGACATCCTCCACTCCAAACAGACTCAGCTCACTGTGCCTGCCCCCACCTGTCAGTAGATTACTAGCTTTCTGACAGACAGGAAGCAGCAGGTGAGGCTGGGGAAAACCACATCCCGCACCTGTGGATGTGTGCTCTCCCCTCTGCTGTTTTCAATATACACCAACGACTGCATCTCGAAGGACACCTCTGTCAATCTCCTAAAGTTTGCTGATGATACAACAATCATTGGTCTCATCTGAGATGGTGACGAATCAGCCTACAGATGGGAGGTTGAGCAGATGGTCCTGTGATGTAGCCACAACAACCTTGAGCTGAACATGCTCAAAACAGTGGAGATGACAGTGGACTGTCATACAGTACTGCCAAGTATGGTGAGTGGGACTCACCATACTTGGAAGCTCTGTATTAGCAGTAAAGTCCTACAAGTTCCTGGCCTCCGCTATCGCCCAGGATCAGAAGTGGGTGTCCAACATCAGGACCATCATCAAGAAAGCACAGCAGAGGATGTACTTCCTGTGCCAGCTCAGGAAGTTCGACCTGCCCCGGAGCTGCTGATACAGTTCTACAGAGGAATCATTGAGTCTGTTCTCTGCACCTCCATCACTGTCTGGTTTGGCTCAGCAACCAAACAGGATAAGTACAGACTTCAGTGGACAGTTAGGACTGCAGAAAAGATCATTGGTGTGAGCCTGCCCTCCTTGGAGGACCTGTACACCTAATGGGTCAAAAGGAGGTCGGAGAGGATCACTGCAGACCCCTCACACCCAACGACAGTATGACTGGACAATGACCCTCAGTGCAACACCTGTAAATATACCTCATACAGATTATACAGATTCGTACAGGTCTCTAGTTTTAAGTAGTCAATTTTTATTCCTACTTATCCCATTTCACAATTAGCATTCCTTGTCTGTCTGCATTGTTTACTGCCTGTTTATACTGCTTAGTTTGCACTGTTTGTTGCTTGTTAATACTGCTTATTTTGTTATATTACACAGCCTTAAGCTGGTTTACTGTTTACTTGCCCCTTGCATGGGGATATCTACATACACATTGAGAGTCGATGTACCAGAGTCAAATTCCTTGTGTGTCCGACACACGTGGCCATAAAGCAGATTCTGATTCTGAAATACGGCCTTGTTTCTGTTAATTATACAGTTTTGACGGAATGATCCTACAATGTATTGAAAGCATATTTCATTCAGTCTATTCACCTGAATATTGAATTACTTTAATGTAAATATTAATATGTATATGCAAGTGTGCAAATGTCACCTAGCAACAGCTGCTGCCAAAGGCAAACAGATGAGAGGTGGAAGAAAAGAAAGACACATTATTAAAAATGAGAAAATATAAAAGAAAAGTGGAGATACCTTTTTTTCAAGTGGTAGGAGCTGCTGAGATGTCATAGTTTAGCTCACTATTTATTAATATGAATAGTCTCTTTATAATTATTATTCCATGACACACAACTATAGAACTGGTAAGAATATCACTGTAGATTTAGTAAATCACAGGGTGATTACAGAGGGTTGTAATTTAGAAAGTGTAATTATTAATTAATCACACTGATGAGAAAGTAATTAGTAGCTGATCATTGTGGGTAACTTTCTCAAAACTGAATATGAATAATATAGTCAGCAGCAGGGGAGTCACACTGCTCTCCATGTCCCTCACAACAGACACGTCACCACCACACACAGCAGAAGCTAATACCTGCTATACACTGCATTCCATGCAGCGCTTACATGGCTCATCCATTTAGCACCTATATTCTCCCAAAACAATACTCTGTATGAGCAGTAGCAGAGAGGGGAGGGCTATGTCTGCACAGTGGTCCAACGCTCCATCACTTAGACAGGGGAATAATTGAACAACTGAAAAAGAGACAACCCTCATCTGAAATAACTTTCACTAAAGTCACAGAAAGAGCCAGGGAAGGAGGAGAGCTGACAACGATGGAATAATCCAGTACTGCTTAATTTAAAATTGGGATGATCTGTATTTTCTATTAAAGGCAAAAAGAAAGAGGAGAGCAGATGACATGAAGATATTAAAATAGCAGTCCCATTTAATGACACTGTATTTATTTGACAGGAATAAAGGATTTTAGATTAACTCCTGTAACTTCTGTACGAGTTGTTGCAGTTACCAAAAAAATGACTTGCCTCAGAATGTGTCAGATGGTTTCATTTAAATGACAGTTAAAAATCCAAAGAGATGAATGAATATTAATATTAATTGTTATTAAAATTAATAAATTAATGTTTTTAAAAGCTAATATTAAAAAAAAGTTGAAACTAATTTAAAAAAATGGTCTAGTAGTAGTGTCTTTTTTCTTTTTACCTACCTTACCTCACAACCTTCCTGACCTACATATTTTGGACCTCCCAGAGTGAGAACCAGTACAATAAACTACCTAACTGTACATGTATAGTTATAGTATATAGTATAAGTACTAGCTCCACCTCAATTTCTCTGCAAACATAAAATGCATTAAAACAGTACTCACAATTGCATAATATATATAAAATAATTTATAGCATTGTATTAGTTACAGGGCTACACTATTTTTGCATTAATTTGTTAATACTTCAGTAATGGAACGGAGTGCTCCTTCCATCACTGATTACAAAAAAATAAGAAAAGGTGAAAACAAAAAGTTTAAAATGTGAATGAAACTTACAGATAAACCAGATGGGCCCTGAGGACCTGGGAAACCAGGAGGTCCCTGTGGACACAGAACAGTGAACTTTAAAACACATGAGATAAACTCAGATAAAAATCTTATTAATAAAAGCAGTTTTCAGCTTCATAAATAACTTGCATGTGCTTGTGTAAATCAGTACATATGAGGTTAGTGTGTTGGGTCACGCTGTACCACATTTTCACTGAGGCCATTAGGGGGCCCTGTGAACCCATGGAAAGTCACAAACAAAATGAAGAAATGACAAAATACAGTAAGGCAGTGACTACAATGGACTAGAGTTTTTTGTTTGTTTTTTTAAAACATTATTCATTTTCCAAATGGGGACTGTAAGCATGTTCACACATTAAATGTGAATTTTTAGAATACAGTCTTTAAAACAAATGTTTTTTTCTAGTCATACCATTAACAGGAAATATGACTCTTCGATAAAACCATGACACAATATCCAGTTTTCTCTATTGTAAATAATCACCATAGGAGTTTATGTTGAGCTGTTTGGAATGGTTCAACAAAAGAGAGATAGACTGATGAATCTTAAAAGTTTAGCTAGAGCCTTACCAGGCTTCCTGGTATTCCAGGTGGGCCTCGCTCTCCTGGTGTACCCTGTAGTCAAGAAAAACGACCTGATCGTGAAGGTTGTGTAGTATAGTTACAGAAAGCCAGGCAGACATACATGCACACACACCCTCATATGAAATTAAAAGTATGTGTATGAGAGAACACAATACAGACTCACAGGTTCGCCTTTTATTCCTGGTGATCCAAATTCCAGGTGCTCCTGTGCAGGATCGGTCATTCTGTGAGGCAAATAAATAAAATACCAGGAAATGCGCATGTTTCTTTTCCATGTCTGTGTATGTAATTTGTATGTATTTTTTGTGTCTATGTCTACAAAAGATGACAATGATCTCAGCTGACCGGTACTTGTATCTCCTGCTCTCTCTGTAGCCTCTCCAAACACTACAAACAAATAAGAGAATAAGTTATCAGAGTAATGCCTCACTGCTGGCAATACATTATATCAGACTGATAGTTACTCACATCAAGCCATGCAAACTTGAATACAATACAAAATGAGGGACTGTCATTTTGCATTCATCAAAACAGAACAACAAACACAGAAATTGTACTACGTTTCATATGATTCTGAATTTGGAGAATCATATAAGTGAAGCTGAAAATGTTTTGACAGGAAGCCCCCTCCCAGTCTCACCCTGTCACAGCTGTCCATGGGGGTGGTTACACCAGGCTTGCCCTCATCTCCTTTCTCACCCTTGGCGCCAGCCATGCCTGGTACCCCTGGCAACCCCTGGGAACAGCCCCCTTCACAGCCAACCTGTGTTATAAAAACACATTCATATACTGTAAAGACATAAACAAATTTATCAGCTTTTCCAAAACTGGAAAAGCAAAAGCATGGAAAGTCTCTGAATACATTTCCCAAAGTGCATCTTTTTTATTGATGAACTTACTTCAGGGTCACTTCCCGTGGAGTCTTGAGGCACATGGTGTGGTCTAACTGGGTTCTACAAAAGGGAAATAGATATTCAAAAAAATGCCATTTTATGAAATGTACAGGATCAAAGATAACAATTATGAGGAAACCCATATAATCAAAACCAGCAATATTTTACTCTAAACACTGTTCAAGCATAGTGCTGTAGACAATTGTAGGTGCTACTAATAACATTATTCACAGCTTTGTTCTATTTAGGTATGTCATTAAGCCAACTTGCACAATACCATTCTCCATTTAGTGACACACTTAAATGGAATCTAACCATAATTAAAGGTATTAGCTATACCCATGTTTGACAAGTCAGATTTTTGCAATAAGAAAGGTCTGCTGAACTTTTCCAGTTAATTCTATATATATGTAGGACCATCTCATTCAGTACGGAGTTAAAATAAAATAAAATCAGAATTGAGGACATTTCATCTGTTTGAGTAGTGAATTTTTGTGCACATACACTTGGTCTTAATCATTAAATATATATATGATGGACATGGTGTCACAACTTTCCTCCACTATGCAAAAATGAAAGCAAGATATCATAAATACAGCAGCTGCCATCTTTCTTTTTTGCAACCAGATTTGGTGATTGCAACTGACTGCTAATTAAAGCTGTCAAATCAACCAAAATATACCAATTTTTTATATCATCAATAACTTAATAAAATCAAACTTCAAAAAAAATTGACCACTTGTACCATATCGGCACATCTAGCAACAGTGACAGAAATGACCCCTGGGAAAAATGTATTTAATTTGTACTTTGAATTTTTACTTTGGATCACTTATCATCCGCGAACATGGAGGAAGTTCGATTTATGACCTATAGTGACAGCAGCCACCAGGGGGCAATTACGTTACAGTGGCTTCAGTTCTGGGGGCTGTCACATGTATACAATTCATTCATTCATTTTCTACCGCTTAGTCCCTCGTCGATCGGGCGAAGGCGTGGCACACCCTGGACAGGTTGCCAATCCATCGCAGTGTATATACAATCAGTAGTCTTATAGATTCTTTTGGTTTGCTCTACAATGACAAAGCATTTTATTGTGCATTACAGGAACCCTGCCCTGTAATTTTTCCACAATAACACTGATAAAAATCCAATACTTTTACACTGGCTTATATTTATTACACCCTTGCTGCACCACAGGAAATCCAGTATTACACAATAGAATGAACTTTGGTGGCAGAGATTTAACTTGTGTCAACAAAAGATGTATAATTTTATGGCCTAAGAAAGCAGCCTATGAGAACCCTGGAAAGCCAACACTGTTCAGTATCAATGTTGACACTATATGCCTGATTCCCATAAAGTAAAGCATGACAAATATTAATTGCTTAAATAAAACAACAGCAGGTCACTATTGGAAGGACAAAAAACCCTTAGTACCCATTTTCACTAGTGGTCAAAAGCTGTAATTAAATTGTGTCCAGCATTTATGCCTGCAGTGGAAAAGTAAAAAAAAAAAAAAAAAATCAGAGCAAGGATTGTTGAAAGAAGAAAGCACACTCATATACAGTAAATGATTCTGCCTATACATATACAGCACAAACATACTGCATAATGGATATAAAGACAGTCCACAGTGTCACTTAATAGGAAATTCTAAAACAAAATTACTACCTCTGCACACTCAAGTGGAGTTACGGCAATATGCCACCCCCTGTCAAAGCAGTGGAACCCTTTCCATTGAGAGAGTCTGCCAATCACACCTGGTCTGTCATCACAAACACATTGTTCAATCTGGAGCTATTAGGCAGAAATGCTTTATATGTTGCACACTATTGGGGGTTATACAGGCTACAAGAATGCTTTGTGGTTTAGAAGACTTGCTCAAAAGAAGATTCTTCTGTCACCCTCTAAAGGGATCTGCAAATGACTGACTTTGTGATTTTCTCTCTGAACCACATGCTGTTAAGTTTCAAAGACAAAGCAGTTTTTCATGGCTGAGAGTGGAAAATTAAATATGAACATGTGTGTGCAAGTGAATGTATGGGAGAAAAGGGAACTTTTCTACTTATACGGGCTAAGACAATGACACGGTTCAGTAGGTCAGAGCCAACAGCTGAGTCAGATAACTTCATAACATATTATGCATACAGGCATGTATAGAAACCTTTGGTCCATCCTATAGTTATTTATAAATAGATATCACCACACTTACTCTGTCCTAGGTCTGGCATCATCACCATCCTTTAACTGTACCAAAGCAGCACTTGTGCTCAATATGTATAATTTAACAGGGGGAAAAGCTTATTTTCATTTACAGACGAGGAGGTATACAGTATGTAAACCCCTTTCAATCATGGTTTAATAAAATTATCATTTAGAATAAGGATCAAATCAGAATCACAACTATATAAGCTAAATATGTTTTTATTTTCTTTAATTAAATCATATCCTTGTATTACCTAACTGGTTCCCCTTAAATGAAAATTTTGAGGCCCTGACAAACTAATTTGTGTTCTCAACATGCATTAATTTTGAACAACAGTCTCCTCTCCTCCTTATCTCTCTAATTTTACTTACGATGTATCCAGGCAAACCCGGTTTCCCCGGTATCCCGTCGTTTCCAGGGATACCCTGAAAGAAGGAACTGAGGTTGAACTGGTTTGTTGCCAGTCAAGGACCAGCCACGCCCATCTTCACCAACGGTCAAGGCAGAGTCAAAGGATCAGGGTCCAAATGGTCAAACCTGATCCCTCTTATATCATGTCTTATGAAACTTTCTAAACCATTTAGGATTCTGAATAAAGATATTTCAATAAATTTACATTAGAAAACTCAGAAATATTTTGCACCCTTGTGAAAAGACATGACTTCTTTAATTACTATCACCACATCTGATATCTTTTTTTGCACCTTTGACTCTTGCAGCTCACACCACAGCAACACTTTATTTGAAGGTCTGCTGGATTTAAAAACTTTAAAAATGAACCAAACTTTGAATATGCATCATTTATTAAATTTCCATTTTAAAATCAGACCTCCAAATAACTGTTTCTTGGACATTCCCAAAGCTTGCTCAGTTGCTTCCCACATAGGTTAAAGCTTGAAGCACCAGATTAGCAGTGCATTTGGTCCTCATTATTTTAGCCAATTTCAAACCAAGCTGTTGCATACATAATTTATGTAATGTCAGCCCATTTCCTACATGCATATCATAGACTTTATTTACCCCTAGAGATGCAAAGCCAGTCACAGGCTTATTTATGTAGCTCAGCTGCCCAAGCTGAAAGTATACATCATATGCAGCTTGTTGTTCAATTCAGGCTGATGGAGCTGCTGCTGAATTGAACTTAAAAGGGACTTCCTTACCACCCTACTGCCTACGTCTCTTACCTCAGGTCCCTGGATTCCAGTAACTCCCTGAGGCCCAGGTGGGCCAGGGGGTCCAGGAGGTCCTGGTGGGCCCTGAAACATACAAAGGCATTACCACAAATGACATCATATATTCACTGTCAGACACAAATGAAGAGTACAGTGATTTTCCAAAGTTGGCTAGGTAACAACAGATACAAAGCTTGCAAATAAAGCTAAAGTTGGCTGACAGATCAGACCTGAGGGCCAGGCTGCCACATATTTACTGGAGTTCCTGGAGCTCCCTGGAAGGCAAGTAGTCAAAGTCAGAGCAGTGCTGATACTTACACAAACAGCTTACACAGAAAGTGCACAGTGTGAAGTTAAGAATAATATAAGAAATGTCAAAGCACAAAAATAACCATAGGCAATAACCAAGCATGAATATATAATTTTCTCAATACAGTCCCTGTGGATTCATAATAAACACTCTGAGAGAGTGTATTCAGACTTTTGTTGTGAGGCTGCAAAACTCTAGATTGACAGTATGGTTACATGTGTTTAATTCAGTTTATGTTTGCAAGCAAGTACTCACAGGTCCACCTATGTCTGTGTACCCAGGCGTTATGCAGTTGCACTGTCCTGGTTCACCCTGAAATATACGTTTTAATAAAGAAACATAAAAAAGTTAAAGTTAGACATTGTGTATAGTTTTAAATGCAGGCTAAAGAACTGAGTGTTTATTCAACATTAAAACAACTACTGTTACGGTGAGAAAGTCAGAACTCTTACAGCTTCCAGGACCATTTTGTTCAGATTTGATAAATCCTGAAACGGTTCTCATCAAAAAAGACAGTGAAAACTGCAGGCGGTGGTTTGCTGCAAAGGTAAGCTGTTTTATACTGTACAACTTTATGAACATAAAATGTTACATAAGCATTACATGAAATTGTCACTAAAATTAGAGCAACAACACAATGATTGTATAGTGCTGTGATGCAATATGTGAAATTCACTTAGAATCAGTTAAAAAAGGAGCCCGCACAATAATCTTAATTACACACTGCTCACACAAACTTCCTCAGACATCTAAGTCAGATTTCTGCAGTACATATGAGCTCTCCCAGAATACCGTGCTTATCTCTGCCTCCATTGTTTCTTCATCTCTCCCACCCTCTATGACAGTGTGGACTGGTGGTTCTGATGAATGTGGTAATTAACTGTCTCACACACTCTCTCTCTTGAGGCCCCAGAACGTCTCCCCTGCCAGCAACAGTACATGTGTCACCTCTCCTCTTCTACTACTCTACCTGTGCCCCAAGGACAGTGCGTGCATCTGTGTCAGTGCATGTGGTTGTGTGTGAGGTGAGGGGGGTGGGTGCTGTTGAACCATCTTGTGTGATTACCATCTGTTCCACCCCCTTATATTCATACCCAATCCAGATCCCTTCATCGAAGTAAAATGGTAGACTTACCTTGCCCCCCTTAGCTCCATCAACACCCTGCAAAAGAAGGAGACAGCACAAATGCACACACACTTAGTTACTCTTGTTTTGTTGCTCCAAAAGAGAGCTCATGGGGTGGTGAGCCAAGTGTGGATCAGGGACAGCAGATGAGATGGGAACAGACATTTCCTCCTTGACTTCCTTGGTTACAAATGATGCTTAAATCAAGGACAATTCCACAAGAAGCTCAAAGAAAATTTAAACATATGCTAACAGAGAGGCAACAACTCAAGTTTTGTTACTTAAATTTCAAACAGCACATATAAAGAAACATGCAATTGAAACACACATTAGATTAAAAAGAAAGAAACAAGGCAACTCACAGGTCTGCCATTATCTCCTGGCAGTCCTTTAGAGCCAGGGGCTCCATCTTTACCCTGTAGGTCAAAAAGTAAATAAAAACTGAGTTTATCAATATTAAAATATCCCATTATATGCACATACAAAAATATGCATTTATGTCCTACCGGGGGCCCTGCTACTCCAATTCCCTGTGGTCCTGGGAACCCAGCATCTCCTTTTGAGCCCTGTGAACAGGAAATACCCACTGTCTAAGTCTCGCAGGTTCATCATTCCATACAGAATGAGGTTCAATTGATCACTTATTGAAATGATGTTGGCCTTTCACCACTCCTTTTTTTGGTATACCTTTTCCCCTGCAGTGCCATCAGGACCAGGCAATCCTCTGGGTCCAGGTAGGCCCTGAACAAAAGGCAAAAATTATTATTACAGTCTAAATAGGTACTGTAGTAAAGTAGGACTTTATAACTATGAGAGAAACTTACTACAGTTCCAGGGAGCCCTCTTGGTCCCTCTTTACCCTATTACAAAACAAAAAGAGAGGCAGGATATTTAGGAGTTTTAGAGATAAAACAGCAGCAGTGAAGCACTCGCTTCCTCAATCAATTAAGATTCCACAAAAAATGATGGTTTGAGAGGCAACAGCCCAGGATCCTTTTTTAATGGAAAGTTACAACACCATGTCTTCACTGCTAGATCTGAGAGGCAGGAAAACTCTACCAACTTATATCATAAGAAGATACAGTATGTTGTTCATTAGTGAGACCACAGATGGGCTACATCCAACTAGGAAATGTATGTATTTTGTGCATGACAGAGCTGCATCAGCTGTTGACATAAAAATTCTTTATTGATCTAGATGTGTTTTGCTAAAAAACATATGAGCCTTACTTGGGGTCCTTGAATGCCAACTCCTGCAGCACCAGCTTCTCCCTAAAGGGGGCACACATCAACACAGATTAAAACCTCTCAGTAATGCATGAATAGACACAATCCTCCAGATACTGTATATTATAATACAAAAAATGGACATTCATACCTTGCTTCCTTTGGGACCAGTAGGCCCCTGCACACCTGGTAGGCCGGGTTTGCCCTAAAATAAATGTGAGCTGATTATCACAAATTCTCACAGAATACAGAGTCAAAGTAAATAAAAATAATGACCACAATTTTCTCACATTTTTGCCAGGCCTCCCTTCTCCTGGGGGACCAGGGTCTCCTCTCTCTCCTTTGGAGCCTGGCACAGCTACACCATCATCCACCGAGGCACCCAGAGAAGGACAGCTGGTACAAGCATCACCCTGGCAAAACCCATCAAATCAAAAACCATTCTCCACCGAACCTTATGGATCAAACTTAAGTTAAAAAAGCAACATTCTCATTTAGGTCATCAGTATCTGAACCACTAGAAACCATCACTGGTTGAGAAGTGTGACCTGTGGTACTGTATCTAAGGTATCACTTGGAAAGACATACCCAATGTATAGAGAGACAAAAGCCAGATCCATACAACCTCAAATAAATCTCTGTTGTATAAGGTCTTTGGAAAGGGATATATATA